TCTCTCTCTCATTTTGTTTTGGAAAGTACACATATCCTTTTATATACGAAGAAAAATTCTAGAATGGCAAACAAGATATCTTGGCAACAGTTTTTCTGAGAGAGGACTTATTTAAAAATTATTTTATATTGCTTGTTTTGTTTTGTTAAATACATCCATGTATTCCTACTTGGGTTAAACCATGATAACTAAATATGATTAAAGCATAGAACAATAAAAATCTTAAAGATGTATACATGGTTATCACTTGCTTAGAAATTTCTAGGTAGGTACTATTTTAAGCCCTCTTCATATATTATCTCATTCAATCTATGGAGCAACTCTAGGAGGGAGGTGTTATCCTCAAATTGCAGATGAGGTTGGTGAAGCTTAAAGAGTAATGATGCCATAAGTCCATCCTCTGGCTTCAAAGCCCTTGGTTTAACTGTTCTCCCTTTTGCATCCCTGTGCTGAACTGACTTTGCTATCATACCCACAAGGAAGAATTCCTGTGTAAAAACTAGATTTCCTTGCAGGCAGTCTATCAGTGATATCCAATAAAGACTGAATAATGGCTAAAAATACAAACCATATACACACAAAAAACTTTTCCTTTTGTACCAGATACTTAGATTAGGTGTAGTGATTTTCTTAAACTGTCCGTCAAGGTAAACACCACCTCATATATTTCATCAGAGAGCAGTATATAACAGTGGTTTCTCTCCCCAGAAGTGGCAGTCATTGAATCAGGACAATGCCACACAGTTGGGCTTTCATGTTAGATAGATCACTCTTGTAATTTTGGAGGATGGAATTAGAAGAGAGGAATTGGAGGCAGAGGGTCTATTGTCATGCAAATTTTGGGGTGTCTACCTAGCATTCATTTTTCCATCTTTTGCTAGGGGATACTCTATACAATATCACCAGTCATTTCATAGAATGGCAATTAGATCAGGCTTGGGTCTGGACCGCCTTCCTTCACTCAGCTCTGCCACTTGCCATGATTGTAAAGGTAGACAATTTAGTGCCTTTCATGCTTCAAGTATCATAAGATAGGAATAGTAATTAGTATCAGATTGAATTATTGTGAAGTTTTAAACAGATGATACTTGTGTTATCAATTTTAACAGATATTAGCCGTCCTCTTCCTTATTGTTGTCCTCAACCATGTATTTCGAACGGGATTAGCCTCACCACTCTTCACGTCCGCCACCCATTAATCCCTGACTCCTTTGCACAATGGGGCTTAGCACATAGTCGTGGGGATTACAAAATCATTACAGAAACTTCATATGTAAAGAAAGGGCAAGAGTTGGCCAGTTTGACTCTTCCTTAACCTGTTTTATTTTTCTTAAATATTATAATATCACCAGATATGCTTTCTGTTTATTTGTTCTCTGAGAGTATGCAATTTGTCTGATTTGTTACCTGCTGTCTTTGGGTGAGTATTAAATATGAGTTCAATAAAGGGGGTGAAAAAAGCATCCCATGAGTGGGGCTTATGAACAATGGAGAAAAATCATGAAGGAAAGATGGCATTCCATGTGGACTGGAGGAAAGTGAACAAGATGTCTTGTCTATAAGAGGGATCATGCATTTAAAGCATTCAGCATCCTGTAACCATCACAACAGTCATTCCAAGAAGAAGAGAGTGCAGTCATTCCAAGAAGAAGAGAGTGTGAGCTCTTAGAGGGAAGAAGTGTCATCGTCCCTTGAGAAGCATTCAGAGCATCTAGTCCCACAGTTGGGATATAGCAGACATTCAGCACTCACTTAAAGGAAAGAATGTTATTAAATAACTTTGAGGGCCCCCATGAATGACTCTGAATATAGATCAAAATTTTGGACTTATCTTTTCAGTAATCAGAAGCCTTCGGTACGATCAACAGGAGAAGTAACATAAGCATATGTGAGATATAGAGTAAAATGGAAAACTTGAGCAAGGGTAAGCTAGTTAGGAGTCTGTTTCAATAGACCAAAGGAGATGGGAGCATGAGGGGCTCCGTTAGTCTTCTGGTGGTGGAAATAAAGAGGAAAAAAACAGGTGCAGGAAAAAAAATTCAGAGGAGGAAACAATGGGCTGTTGAAACAAATTGGATATTTGGGACAATGAAAAGTGAAAAGTCAAAGGTGACTGGGATTTTAATCCTGAGCCATTGGTAGGCTAGTGAGACACCTAACCACTCTCCCTATCTCCTTCCCCAGACAGTTAATTACTCACAGAAAAAGCGTTAGCCAAAAGTCAGCTTATTTATGCCGGTTGCTTAACCCTGCAAGTCCACAATGGTGAAGCAGGTGGCCAAGATAAGTTCTACGCACACTGAATTACAGCATGGAAGAGGAGCCCAGGGCCACAGAGGAGCCCAGCAAGGGACAAAATATGGGCACTTTGACCTTCTGGATTGCCTATATGACCAGCTACAGAAGCTGCTCATTATCAGGAGATGGAGCTGCCTGCAATCTGGCCACTCAGCAAGAATGGATGCCCCTTCCAACACCATTCTTTTAAAGTGAACAAACCTAATCACTTTCCAAGTATAACTGGCCTGAATTTATTTTCCTTTCTTTACTAAAATCCAACCTAATTAATTTTTTCTTTTCATACTCCTTATTCATAAACTCTAATTGTTGATAACTTTGAGAGCATTGGTCATCTTAGTTTCTTACCACTAATGATATGGCAAGTTAATTTCTGTAATAAGTACAGCTGAAATTATTTTTCCATCTTCTAACAATATTTTATCATGAATACTTTCCTAGAATCTTCCATCTGGAATCCCACTTTTCATTTAGTTTGGAGATTCTCTTTTTGAAAATAAAGATTAGCATGTAAGATAGTAAAGTTATTATATATTTCATCCAAACTGTAAAAACACATTGACTATTTTACTTCTTAATCCCTCTAGGTAAACATAAAAGTATTTTAGACATTTTTATATTTTATTAATTGAAGCGTATCAAAGTTGATTGATTTCTAAAGACTGTGAACTTAACCTACCTAAGAGGAGGCAAAGGTAAAGATTACAACTTGGAATTTCTATTCCAGTACATTCATGCTAACTTAAGCTATTTCCGGTAAGTGTGTACTCTGGAGAAAGAAAGGTTATTTGAAGAGTGTCCACTACATTTGTTCCTAGAAAAACTAAAGTTTTAAAATTTCAGTTCCTCAGCAAAGTGAAGATAGAATTTTTTAGGAGTTCTTCAAAGTACGATTTTTAGGACTTGCTACCAAACGTTAAATTTTCTCTCTGTGTGTAATAATATATTCACAGATCATTTAGACATGAATGTAAAGGTGCAGTAAGAGGAGCAGAAAATAAGGGAAGCCACTCACAGCTTTAGGTTTTCTTATGAATTGTGCCTGCTCTGTCTCTAGTTTGTGACATGATGCTAAAAGCATGTCTATTCGTGTGTAGGTGAAGCTGTCTTCAGCTAGGATCTGGATTCAACAACATTATGCTGACTTGAAGGTTACAAAGTCTCTTAAGGACATCAGATCTGGCACCTGATTTGATGTCAGGAGCTGATGTTCTTTTCACCTTCTTTCCCCATGAACTTCTTAACTCAGTATTTCTAAGGATATTATACAGTGGTATCTTGCTGACTTAGGCTAGGCAGTGACAAATTTAATGTTACTTCACCTCTGCTAGGGTGAATTCAAGTGCCCAGAAACCCAATAGCATATTTGAATATTCTGAACTGCAAACCTGTTTGCATTAACAAGAATAGTATAGGAATGGTGAAAAAAAAGACAAGCTGTGCCATAAATTATCAGTTTATGTTCTAAAGAAGGTTACTTTGAAGGTCATTAAATTTCTTCTGTCTAAGGATGCTTGGAATGGTTTTAAAAGCAGCCTACTTATGGTCAAGGTTAAAAAATGAATAATCTCTTAAACTATCCCTCATATCCAAGACTGTTGTTTATGAAGTTTAAAATTATAGTTTAAAAGATTATACAAAGAAAATATAAAACACAGATCTAGGCCAGGCGCAGTGGCTCATGCCTATAATCCCAGCACTTTGGAAGGCCAAAGCAGGTGGATCACCTGAGGTTAGGTGTTTGAGACCAGCCTGGCCAACATGGTGAAACCCTGTCTCCACTAAAAATGCAAAAATTAGCTGGGTGTGGTGGCAGGCACCTATAATCCCACCTAATCAGGAGGCTGAGGCAGGAGAATCATTTGAGCCCAGGAGGCAGAGGTTGCAGTGGGCCGAGGTCATACCACTGCACTCCAGCCTGGATGACAGCACAAGAATCTATCTCAAAAAGAAAAAAAAAAGGAGAGAGAAAGAAAAGAAAACACAGGTCTAATGCCTTTTTCTGAGGGAAAACTTGCATTTAAGTTCATTTCTCACTGAAGCAAAATAACAATTTACATTTAAATTGTGGTTTTCCTTAGACATACTAAAATGTATAGTTCTTGAAGACATCAGCCTATTGGCATTTTCTATAGCTAATGCTTCCAGTGTCTAAAGTGGTGTCACATCATCTATACCACCTTCATTACACTATTTTTGTCTTGTGTAAGAGTGCATAATGAGCTATATACTCCTAGTAATATGTTTATTCCTTGTGTTTAAGATCAGGCAAGGTCGGAAGTTATACTGATTCTTTGGGGATGAATTCATTGGTCAATGTCATCAAATAACTTTTCTGAGAGTTAAATATTAGTCCAGTTATTGGCTTAACTAAAATGCCTAGAGTGTTTCAGTAAATGATTGTTCAGTTCAGTGACAAACAGTTGATCTGGTAGGCCTAGTTGATGGTGTTCTAATTAATGCTTTCTAGTAGTCAATCAAAAATTATTGGGCACTGATCAGGTACCTTACACTGATACTCAGTGGGGAAACAAGAGGAAACAACCCACTAAGGCATTAACTAAATGAAGACATATACTGAGCAACCACAAACTGGAAGCTAATGAAGTATCCACTTGAAACTATGTAATTAAATGACCCAAATGCGCAGATGAGTTCTGATACACCCAACCAAGCAGGGATCCAAAGGATCCCACACTTACCCTGCTTCGATGGAACTGTCTCTGCCTGGAAGAATGGGGAAAATATCAGAAGTTAAGATTGGCAGTTAAATACCATTGTAGCCAGTATATTCTCAAAGGGAGAAATTCCAGTCATGTTTACACGTGAATCATTTGGGGATTGGGTTGCTCATGCAAAGTTAGCTTCCCAGGATCAACATGACACTTAATAAATAAAAATCCAGCATGCACCTTTTTAACAAGCTCTTCAGTGAATTCCTCAGTCTGTGGTGTACAGTTCACACACTGAGAAATACCATTTATGGTTTCACATAGATCCCTATGTCTTTCCTGTTTCTACTGGTAAAATCTAACTTAACTGCATTTTTAAGGTTATATATATATATATATATATATATATTTTAATTGCATTTTAGGTTTTGGGGTACATGTGAAGAACATGCAAGATTGTTGCATAGGTACACACATGGCAGTATGATTTTCTGCCTTCTGTCCCCTTGCCTGTATCTGTCATTTCTCCACATGCTATCTCTTCCCACCTCCCCACCCCCCTGTCCCTCCCCCATTTCCCCCCAATGGAGCCCAGTGTGTAGTGCTCCCCTCCCTGTGTCCATGTGTTCTCATTGTTCAACACCCGCCTATGAGTGAGAATATGCGGTGTTTGATTTTATGCTCTTGTGTCAGTTTGCTGAGAATGATGGTTTCCAGGTTTTAAGGTTATATAAAGGCTGATTTGGAGGTATAAGAATTCAGAATAATATGATAATTTGAGGAATGTTCTTTCTCCTATTACTTGTTTAAATCAGGAGTTGTAAACTTCTGGTCTGCTAGTCAGATGTGGTTGGTCCATGGATAGTACTTTTAAGTGGTCCAAACAGTATTTTTAAAATTAATTGCCAACGTTAAACATTAGAAGATGATACAAACAAAATCCGAACTTCTAGTTTCTCTTTAAAAATGAGATGACCTGGCTGAGGGTGGTGGCTCATGCCTGTAATCCTAGAAATTTGGAAAGCTGAGGCAGGTGGATCACAAGGTCAGGAGTTCGAGACCAGCCTGGCCAACATGGTGAAATCCCGTCTCTACTAAAAATACAAAAATTAGCCGGGCACAGTGGCAGGCGCCTGTAATCCCAGCTACTTGGGAGGCTGAGGCAGGAGTATCGCTTGAATCTGGGAGGTGGAGGTTGCAGTGAGGTGAGGTGGCAGCACTACACTCCAGCCTGGGCAGCAAGAGTGAGACTCTGTCTCAAAAAAAAAAAAAAAAAAAAAAAAATCAGATGACTCGAAAGCACTGAGCCTTGATTGCTGCCACAAGACCTCAGTCAGCTAGAATTGAAAAGCAGTTGCCCCTTTCAATGACCAGTTTGCCATAGTCCCAGGACTCCTGATCATCTCCCTGACACCATGGCCAAATGTCAGGTACCATTTGTCACCAGGATGCTTTAGATGCTCTCTTCCACCCGGCCCACTTGACTCATTTGTATCACCTGCCTATACCTCTAGGCACTTGAGTTGATGACCCCTGTCTTAAGGGTACTTCAAAATCAATTGCTTTTGAATAGTATTTGATGATGAAGACAGATACTCCACATTCAGACTTACTCTGCTGCATTCCCCTGAGACACACATGCTATGCTCTTGGGCAGAATCTCGGCTAATTTATTTAAAGAATGCTCATTAATCAAAAGAAAGTTCAATCTAACTCAAATCTTTCTAAGAGACTACACAATTCACCATGTCTAATTGATGTACATATTTTATTTTCTAATTTCTACAACAAAAGGAAAGATACTGCTTAAGAGACTGTTGTTTTACAGAAAACACAGCTGTTTGCAATCATTTACAAAAATTTAATCATTTTAGAAACTACTCTAAAATATTATTCTTGTATAGTTCTGATGTGTCAATGTAGGTTCACCAATTGTAACAAATATACCCTCTGATGGGAAGGTTGACAGTGTAGGAGGCTATGTAGGGGGTATATGGGAAATCTCTGTACTTTCTGCTTAATTTTGCTGGGAACCTAAAACTGCTCCTTTAAAAAAGGGCTCAAAAAATTTATCTGAAATTAATCCCAAGTGCTTCACAGAACAAGAATATTCAGTGGTCAACATTCCCTGTTTTATCTACTTCATAAAAAAATATAGTTTAAAATATTTCACATTATTTCTCAGTAGAACCTTGAAAACTGAACATGCTATCTATTTTCCTAGATCAAATATGACATGGCATTGCAAAACAAGCCTTTCCCCTCATTACTTTGACTCCCTTGATTATGTGCACTAAAAACAAGTCTCAAGAAAATCCAAGGTAAAAATCTTGGTAAAATATTAAATTCAGGTTTAAATGTGAAAACTACATATTTTGGTATTATTTTTCTGCTGAAATTCACATCTCCCTTTTAGCTAGAGCAGCTGAAGATCTGTGGGTGAATTCCTGTTAATTTAGGTTTGGGTTTCAAGTCTCTCCCGGTTTGGCACTGTGAACTTGAACTAGTTACTTTGTTTCTGACCTTCTCTTTCCTTATCTGTAAAATGAGATAAAAATCCTACGTCATAGACTCATTAAAAGGATACAAGTAGTTTGATGAATGAAGTCCATGGCACACTACTCAATAACTGATAGCCCTTATTTTAATTAGTGACACTGAATTTCTTTCTGTACTGGCCAAGCAGTATTTCCCTAAGACCTAAGAACAGTGCTTTAAAAAGAAAGTCATAAACCCTTTTTTCAACTTTTCTTTTAAGCAGCTTTATTCTCCCAACAAAAGGAAAGGTAAGTGAATTTCTTTTCCATGACAGCATTGTTTTAGGCTAATAGCAGTTATCACTCCTACCTAAGACTCCATCTTGCTCAGTCTTATATTTTTCAGGTAAATACTCCAAAGAATTCCACAGAGATGTAACTCTCTTTTAAAAATTAACTTTTATTGGCCAGGTGCAGTGACTCATGCCTGTAATCTGAGCCCTTTGGGAGGTCAAGGCAGGAGGATCGCTTGAGGCCAGGAGTTCAAGACCAGCTTGGACAACACAGCGAGACCCTATATCCACAAAATAAAAAAAAAAATAAAAAATTAGCTGGGCATGGTGGCATGCACCCGTAGTCACAGCTACTCAGGTGGGAGTATTGCTTGAGCCCAGGAGTTTGCACCACTGTACTCCCGCCTGAGAGACAGAACAAGACCCTGTCTGTAAAAAAAATTTTAAATTAACTTTTACTTTAGAAAGTAGTATCAGAAAAGCTATCAACACAGATTGAAAAGGGGTTGTCAGAAAGTTAGCTGGTGTGTCAAAGAATAGTGATGAAGAAATGGGGCCTGTAACTGGCCCAGGGAGGTGAGCAAACAGCATCCTGGCACCAGTCAGAGCTTTCCTCTGCTCCTCCCGGCCTCCGGTACCCGGTACCCCCATCCTCTCCTGTGTCTGTCACTCAAGCGCTTCCTTTTTTCCATCCAAAGAAGAAAATTGAATATGAGTGATGGTGAGTTTGATATTACAGTTAACATTTTTCGAGCTCCCTTCTATGTTTCAGTCACTGAGCTATATACTTTGTTTGCCTTAATTAATCTTGACAAAAAGCCGCAAAGAAAATAACTATTGCCCCGTTTCAGAATTTGGTCAGACCACCCAGTCTCTAGGCTAGACCTGAGACTGAAGCTTGGGTTTATCTGATTTCAAGCTACTTCTTAAAGCAATGGTGACTAGTATTTTTTTTTAAAGCAGCGAATTAACTTTTTAAATATTTTTCTTATTAAATGAAAAATAACTAACGTGTTCTTTGCTGGAGTTGTTTTCCACAGATAATGACTTTGTCACATTTTTTTCTCCCCTGCCCCCATGACTTACTGGCTCTCAATAAGTAGAAATGTGTTTCAGTTTTGCTCTAATTTTTTAATTTTATTATTTGTTATTCTGTAATTTAGGAGTTTTGTTTGTTTGTCTAGCCCTGTCACTACCTCTTATAGACATCATAACATGCGACCTATTTATTAAGTAATTGTGAGTTGTATTTACCTACTGATTACTTCTTGGTTCTATGTCTTCATTCCAAAATATAGCAGAGTTATGTATTTTATTCCTTCCATTTTCTACACCATAAAAGTTTTAATCAAGTCTATATGAATTTTTTAAATATGAAAAATTATGGTGATTCTTATTTGCATCTCAAAATTTTACCTTTCCTTTTGCTCAGCAACTCTTATTTCTAGTCATATTTTAATATCTTTTTGTCATCTTTGACTTTTTTCTAATATGCTATTCACTTTTTACTCTAGATCTTAGAATCATAAAATAATTTGGATGAGATCCTTCTTAGAAATAATTTCATGTTAGTATGTCAAATTATAGTTCAGAAAATTAAGTTTCAGGAGGTTTGAATGACTTACTCAAGGCTACATATCTAGTGGTAGAGCTGAAGATCATATTCCGTGAACTTTCCAATCTTCTATGCTTTCTTTCTCATTGTAAGTTAAAAGCATTAGGAGAAAAAAAAAGAGAAAACTTCTGTTAGGCCCACAAATAACTTCATAGCTTTATGTAACAATGATTTTTACCATAGCCTGTTAGACCCATACTTCCCCTGACTCTTCTCATCCCACTATGTAATAGCTTGTTTCTTTGGGCTTTAATTATAGTTGTTCAAGCAATTAATTTTAAAGCTTTGGGCTATTATTTAGCCAAATGAATTTAATTGTGTTGGGATGCTTGCTCTTTTGTTTGCATTAAGAAGGAAACATTTGAGTCATGTTGGCAGTTCAACTCAAAGAGCGACAATGTTTGTGTCCCTCCAAAATTCATACGTTGAAATTTAATCCCCAGTGTGTTGTTTTTAAGAGATAGGGCCTTAGGGAGGTGACTAAGACCTAAGGATGGAGCCTTGTAAATGAGATTAGTGCCCTTTTAAAGAGGCCTGAGGGGCCAGGTCTGGTGGTTCACACCTGTAATCCCGGCACTTTGGGAAGATGAGGTGGGTAGATCACTTGAGGCCAGGAGTTTGAGATCAGCCTGGTCAGCATGGCAAAATACCGTATGTACTAAAAATACGAAAATTAGCCGGGTGTGGTGGTGTGCACCTCTCGTCCCAGCTACTCAGAAGGCTGAGGCAGGAGAATCACTTGAAGCTGGGAGGCAGAGTTGCAGTGAGCCAGGAAGATTGCACCACTGCACTCCAGCCTGGGTGACAGCCAAACTCTGTCTCAAAATGAAAGAGCACTGAGGGAGTTTGTTTGACCCTTTTTGCCCTTCTGCCATGTGAAGATGCAGCAAGAAGTCACCATCTATAATGCAGAGAGCCCTCACCAGATACCAAATCTGCTGGACCTTGATCTTGGACTTCTAGGCTTCCAGAACCATGAGCATTTCTGTTGTTTATAAATAAACCACCTGGTCTAATGCATTTTGTTATAGAAGTCCAAATGGATTAAGACACAGTCAATTTGCATTCTGTTTCTTAAAAATCTGGTTTGTATTCTGCTTAATATTTGGATGTATGGTCTAGAGTAGCTGTCAGCATTTCCTCATAACTGAGTCCCATGGCACTTCAATACTGCCAACTTAAAATGGATAAAATGGTGCACTAGACTTACCCGGAAAACTTATGATTAAGATATTTTTCTTAAAAGAAATCCTTGTTTTTATAAGTAAGTGCATACTGAAGCAAAGGGACATCTTGTCTCCAATGTACATAAAATGATTCAAAAAAAATGTGAAGAGACAGATGTACCTATCTTAGCTTAATCTGTACTGCTATAACAGAATACCACATACTGGATAATTTATTATAAACAGAAATTTGGGTAATTTATAATGAACTGACATTTATTTGATTCATGGTTCTGGAAGCTGGGAAATCCAAGATCAAGAGGCTACATTTTCTGAGGAACTTCATGCTGGATCATAAATCATGGAAGGCATCACATGGGTGAGAGACATCAAGATGGGCTTGATTCTATAACAAACCCACTCCCACAATAACCATATTAATTATTCATGAAAGCAGAGGCCCTCGTGACGAAATCACACCCCACTAGGCCACATCTCCCAACACTGTTGCATTGGGGATTAAGGTCCCAACACATACTTTTTGGGAACACTTACAAATCATAATAATACTTATCAGAATTATAATTGATATAATTGATATACCTACATTTTTTCCTCTGTCTATATATATCTCTCTCCATATACACACATTATATACATATAAACTACATAAACATTTTATATGCACTATACACACACATGTATATGAGACAGAATATGATAAAGCAAACGTTTACATTTAGGACATTTGAAGAATACACAGGAATTCTCTGTACTATTTTTGCAGCTTTGAAGTCTGCATTTATTTCTAAGTAAATTTGAAGAAACAATTGACAGCATTAAAACTTGTATGATTGGACATCCACTTAAAGACTAGCATCCTCAAAACTTAAGAAAAATAAATAAAATTGTAAAAAATCTTTTCCACTTATATATATTTAACATTCTCAGATAAGAAGCAGCCTTTACTTAATTAGCTCTCAAAGAACAAATTCCCTGGGAAAGGAAGGTTTGAGTTAAGTCAGGTGTGTTAAATTAAAACAGAAAAGGAAGAAATCTAAATTATGTAAAGTGGAGCTATCTGTGATTCTATGGGATGTCAAAAAATTGCCCCCACTCCTTGCTTCACCCCATGGCTTCTATTTTCCAAGCCCTATGGTAGTAATTTGGCTAGAATCTTAGCAATACTTCTGCAAATTTTCCAACTGTGTCTTTTGTCCAGGCTCCCTTCACTCAAGATCTTCTGTCTCTGGTTCTCTCCAGCCACCATCCAGGGCTGAAAATATTGACCTTTAACTGAAATCCATCCTGTCTTGTATACATGGTATGTCTAATTGTAGATGTAAAGGCCTTTTTGAAGGGATTTTTAATCATTATTAAGCAGTAGCAGAGATACAGCTGTGTTTATGAGATTATGGATGTGCATACATGTGCACAAAGCGGGTCCTAAAATCACTTTCAGGCACACTGAAATGCAAAGCCAAAATGCCTATGAGTCATCTGTTACTGTTATTATCACAGACCGATTTCTCACATTTTGATGCAACTTCCTTTTTGAACATTTATTTCCTAGCAGAATAGTCACAGCTTCTTCTTTTCTAAAAGTTCATTATCTATATTAGTTTTTCGCCAAGCACATGTACAGTATTCATGAAACATTTTGCCAGATTTTAGGAGAAGTGGTTTAGGGAGTCTCCTATGAGGTCTCCAGTGGCACACAGAGAATGCGATTTGGCAGCTGCAGCCTAATTGTTCATTACACTCATGGAAGCATCAGAATTTTAGCTGATAAAAAAACAGAAGTGGTAGTTGCAGATGTAAAGTAAAATTAATGTTTATTACAATAAACTACTTACTTAAGATTTATTATTTGAAGGAAATAGGAACTGTCAAACAATATTCCACTATTATCCTGTGACCATAAGCACAATGAGACAGATATAAACAAAATTTAATTTTTAGATAATACTCATAATGGGTTAAAATAAGTTTAAGAAAGATTTATCTAAAACACTCAAAAGATAAATACTTCCTAAAATAGAAAAATGTCAAAAATTGGAAAGAAACACATCATTCAAAATAATTCTGAAATAGACAGTAAACAGTTATTTTCGATAGGTTAGATAATTAATAAAACAATAAAAATTGAACACAAACATGCATGAGTAAAAACAAAATTAGCATTTATATGGACCAATGATGCATCCAATGACATTCAGAAATAGAAATAATGTATTAAAAAGAAAGATGGAATCATTAATCCCTTTGCCCACTAGCTACATGAGCTTTGGCAAATTACTTTGACTTTCTGACACTCTGTCTCCTCATTTGTAAAAGGGAAATGAAGTGCCTTGAATGTAGCAGACACTTGGAAATGGTAACTGATATTATTAGCTAAAATAACAGTTACCGGATATCAAGAGTTTATTGTGTTCCAGGCACTTTGATGAAAGCTTCCCATGGATTATCTTATTTAGCTAGTAGGGGTTATACTGCTAGGTAATACTGAGCTCTTATAGGATGTCCGACAGAAGAGTGATAAAATTTTAAAATCTATGATAATGAGTTGCAAGAAAATCAAGGAGATTTTTCTAAGAAGATTCCTACTTCTTAGGAAAACATGTAGACAATGCATGAGTAGAGAATGAGGTTTCATTGGTTTAAGGCCCAAAATAGGAAATAAAATGATCTATTTATGGTATGATTGGAAATCAGAGAATGGCTTATCTAGAGGCAAGAGTTTAAGCATTAAAATTGTTTAAGTGTTAAAACACTTGCAGTGTAACACAAATTACTTTATTGTTATCTCAGCTTTTCTCAGTTCCATTAGATTAATTGAGAGTTGATTAGTGAAAATTGATATGCAATTATAATAATGCCCATAAATATGTCAGGATAATTACCCTTGGCAGGTCTACTTGCAAATACATTTCTTCTATTTGTAGTTTTGGTAACAACTTATTACTGACATGATTCTCACTGGCTGTAGAACAATCATGATAGATTCTTGATTCTACATTCTTCTTTTACACCAATGAAAACCCATTTCCATATAAAGACTCAAAGAAAAGATCATTACAAGAATTTCTAAGACACTTTAATGATTGTATTTTTAAAAAATTAATATTATTTCTTAAGTCATGGCCCTTAGCATTTTTTCCTTCATTTCAACCCTGGTGAATCTGATGATTATGTGCCTTGGGGAGGAATAACATGGGGAGAAATGCCAGATATAGGTGACAGGGGGATGGAGGCAGCAAACCACATTGCCATGTATGTGCCTATGCAACAATCCTTTATGATCTGCACATGTACCCCAAAACCTAAAGTACAATTAAAAAACTATGTACTCTATTTAGTCTGGTGTCCACATTGTAATGCTCACACACCAAGAATATTGCACATGATTGCATATTTATGCCTCTTATTCCTTACTGTTGACCAAAATGATATCCTGCTAAAATACTACATAAAATCTTACACATCACCATAATGATTCCTCAAAATATTGTTCTCACTTTGCCTTTTTTTTTGTTTTGTTTTTATGTTTGGCCTGCAATGCTCTTCCATTTAATTCAGTAAGTCCAATACCACCCATTTACACTTTAAGTATTCAAATGCCAGCTCCATAAAGTATTCTCCCATCTCTACAGCTCTAGTCAATGTCCTCATCCCATAAACTCCCAAGTTAATTTAAACTTCACTTAAAGCAGATAGTTCTATCTGATTTCATTGATAGTAATGTAGATCCCTTTGTTTCTTTACAAAGCTAGAAACTCTTAGGACATGAGATCCCCATGTGATGGTTATCCTTCATCACAAGAATAAATTTCTTGAGCATAGCATGTGGATGGCTAGGGCCTGGGTAGGACTGCCATGGTCAGTTTTTACTAGGCCTTGTACATAAGTGAC